CCTCACCGGGACGCGAACCGGCAACCTTCTAGCTGTGAGGCAATAGTGCTAACCACCAAGCCACCTTGCAGCCCTACTTAGGTAAATTCACATCATAAATAAGTGCAGGGTCTTCACCTTAATACCAAAAATTGTGAGGTTTATTTGTAACGCCAGTATTATTTTTGGGCCTAATGGCTGATGCTTTAAAGGCACTATGTGGACAACATTAAGTTGACTTCTCCTAACTGATACGGTAGAATATTTTCATTTCTGCTGATCATGTTGCTTATGTTCTTGCTTTGTTCTTAATAGTGTCCATATAGTCGTGGGAGCTGGTGAAGGGCAACTAGTAGTAGCAATAAATATAAAGCTAATCAAAATAGTTGCAAGATCATCAGTGGTGTGCTCCTAAAATTATTTTTAATCATATTTGCAAGAAAGGGACTCAACATTGCTCACCGACTTTTGAGTGCCTTTGGTCTGTGGTTGTTCTACGTGGGTGACGGTTGTAAACCTCAACTGCAAAGCGTCACTTCCAGCATCTTGCACATAGCCTTGTTCACAGCCAACTGCAGGCCAGGTCTTGTCACCTGACATCATTAACCATCCTCGTGGCTGAACCAGAATAAATCACTGCAGCCAGGGCCCAAGACGTTCTGAAAGATGTTGCTGTTGTTGCAGAATAATGACATGCATGACTTTAGAATGAGATGTTCAGCAATAAAATATAGGTCTCATGTTTGGGTGGCCACCTTGTTCATGTTGTATGGCTTAAATTACACCATCATCACTCAGACTAGGAGGTTCTTATGAATAGTGGTGCTCAGTGTGCTGATAACAGAAAAGTATTGTCCCTAAAAATGATCCTGCACTCTGCTTCCATGTCTTGCAGGCAGTTTTTATATCATTTTTTCCCCCTCTACAGCAGTTTTCTGCATCTATTCACATAGATGCACAAGGCAAATATGGAAGCATTTGGCTTACATGATGAGGTAAAGCCCACAGACGCCCCAAAGCCTGTAGAAAAGCTCCACAGAATGAGAGAGTCCAACTTAGTGCACACAGACATTCAGACTTGTACAAAGAAGTCAAAGAGCAACAGGTGAGCAAATATGATGAGTGATGTGAGCACATCATGCCCTCGAATATAAGTGAAACTAGAGAGAGATGCTGCTTAACATTTTNCACATTCACACCTACGGACAATTTAGAATCACCAATTAACCTCAACATGTTTCTGGACTGTGGGAGGAAGCCAGAGAACCCGGAGAGAACCCACGATCCACACAGAAAGATCCCAGGTGCCCTCACCGGGACGCGAACAGGCGACCTTCTAGCTGCAAGGCAACGGTTGAGAGTGGGTTCAAAACAACAAAAAAAAGTTGTTGAGAGTGTGAAGAGGTCAACTGGTCGACTTGACGACATCTGTTGAACCACAGAGGAAAACAATATTGTAGCTGAGGGAAGATAGATCACCTTCTCAGACATGTCATCCTTTAATCAAACACTGAATGATCATTATCTCCCCCCTCCTCACCCAGCAGGTCTCCATGCACCAGGGCCACCAGGTACCAAAGCACTCCAAACAGGAACCAGGTCCCAGCAAAGGTGGCAGCAAAGAAGAAGAACTTGTAGCGCCATTGCATGTCCAAGAAAGTGGTCCAGAGGTCACGGAGGTACAACGCCCCTCGACCACTGACATGCTCGATGCGCACATTGCTTCGGCCATCTTTGGAAAGAACGCGGCGCCTCCTTCGCAGAGCGTTGGGCCCTCCGGCTCCCGTTCCTCCTCCTGCTCCTCCTGCACCAGCACCTCCGTTCTCCCCTGTGGAGCCCAGCAGAGGCTTGGTGATGTCGGTCTGCGTCTGGGAGTGGCACACCTTCTGAGGGGAGGAGCCTTCAGAGGACGGGGGCGTGGCTGAGGTCATGGCTGCCACTGCATGTGGTTGGAAAGAGAAGACAGCAGGAGGTCAGGAGGGAAGGAGCGGTGTGCAAAAGAGGTGTACATCAAAAACAAAGAGAAAGGAGACGGTGAGAGAATGTGTGCATAGGTTGCATTGGTAGAAAGATTAAGTACACAGCAGGGGAGTCCAAAAGAAATGGTGCATAATGTGTAAAAAAGGAGAAAAGAGAAAGAAGTGTGTGAATGAGACAAGTGACAGAGTGGAACATTTGAACGGAGAGGGAGATGCAGAAGAAGGGGATTAAAGCACATTTCTCACTGGACAGTGGCAATGCTGTCCACGGTGGTCCATTTAAGACCCCGTTCTCTTTTTACTGGAGGCAGCTGGGCTTATCAAAATAAAAGCTTCCTTTCAGGATGAGGTCACAGCTGCCCTTTCAAATTAAAAGCATGATCGTGCACGCTCATTCAATTCTTGGTTCCACAAGACAGCTGCTGAATTGGGAATCAAAAATGCTGATGTCTTCTAATGCTGACCACCCTCTTCTGTTTTGCTGAAAGCTGTTTTCTGCACTTGTTGGCCTGTTTTTACTTTAAGAGAGACCTTAGTTGTGGAGCCTTTGCAGTAAATGACAAACTGATTTAACAGTCATGCAGAATTGATGTTGAAAAGCAATGAAAAGGGAAAACTTCGAAACGAGGGTTTGTAGATTCTGGGTCAAGCTTCAGGAGAAGGCAAACTGACTTTTCTTTTTGATTTTAATCTTTAATATGTAAATTACTTTGGTAAATCCATCCATCCAACATCTATACACCTCTTAATCCTCACTAGGGTCGTGGGGGGCTGGAGTCTATCCCAGCTGACTCAGGGTGAAGGCAGGAGACACCCTGGACAGGTAACCAGTCT